AACCGCTCAGAAGTTTAAAAGCACATAACAATTGGTCAATGGATATAATTTTTTTTTCTCCGCAACAAATGCGATATATGTACGAAGAAATTACTAATACGGAAAAATCGACAATTATATTGTTACAAGTATGTTTGTGGAACTAAAGAATTTCTTTACTTTTCGTTAAATATTGTCTGAATTCGTTCAATATATCCATTCAATGTTCTAGAAATTTTCGAATCACTCGTTTAACATCCTGTCCATTATTTATATACGAATTTTTTTCTCTAATCCCAGTTTTCGTGTGAACTAACCAGTAGAAAAACTGTCCAAAAATATTCTCAAAGATGTATTTAGGATTTAGCGTGTTTTCAGTAAAATTGATGCTCTTAAATATTTCATAAAGACTTGGAATCGTGACACGACACGTACTGCTCACGTTTCTTTCTTCCTGCTCTTACGTTTCAATTTCTTTCTTTCTCCCGCCACCTTTACATTCAACCCCTCCCTCCGCCATCCCACTTTGTTTTCTGTCACACAAATCAACACGCGCGTGCACAACACGCACGCACATCCACTCTCTCTCTCTTTCTCTCTCTGTCCGTACCTATCTACTATGAATTTCACACATCTGTTTCTCCCTTTTCTTATTACCCTACAGGTGAGTGCGAGCAACACACTTTCTCTCTCCTCTCATTTCCGTTTAATAAATGCTGATTTGGAGGAATCGTTGTCCAGTTTTGTTCGTGGAAGATACATACATTTATAATTCAGAATAAATATTTTCCCCGGTTTGCTTGTGTTTCACTATGGCGATATTTGTTCACTAAAACTCCTCCAGCTTTCTGTTAATACGCACTGTTACGACAGTTTAAATATATTGCCATTTTGTATGATATTTTAACCGACACAACTTTTGTAACAAGTTTCCAAGCAAATAAAAAAAAAAGTATTATTGAAACGAGGACGCGAACGATATGTCTTCCTTTTTTGCCTTTTTATGTTCCCTAAAGTTTCTCTTTTTTTCCTTTTTAAATAGTAAATACGTTAGAAATATAATTCGACGAATTCGGCGAGCGTTTCGACGATAATATTTGTAAAATATTATCTATCGGTACGTACAGAGAACGTCCGAGCAAGGCACAATTATTGCTTTTTTACTATTTCGTGCCTTGATAACGAGTAGGTATATATATTTAAATTTATAGGAACTTTGGATATTCGATGGTTCATCGAGTAATCTTCAATCGCACACAACAATCTAGCTCTGCATGTAAACACTACTGTTGCATACCGGCAAGAGAATGCGAAAAACAGGAAGAGCTGAGAATGTCCTGAGGTGACCGACATTTTGCTAGTATACATATTTACAATTTGAACATATCAGAAAGGTTGGAATTTCACAATGCAACGACCCCAACACTCGATCCTGGCACATTTCATATCTCCTACGAATCTTCCCTTTCTTTAATCTTCGCCGCTTTCGTCTTCGTCATCAACCTCGTTATTATTGACGTTATTCTTCGTGCGATCGAAAAGTCCTGCCGACCAAGAAAGATCATTATCATGGATTGATTTCCCATCGGAGGAAGATCTATTCTTAACCTAATGCAAATTAATCCCTCAACGATTTCTAACGAAACGGTCCGACGACCATAAAGGATTATCGCGATTTACAAATAAACCTCAATCGTATTTTGTACATCGAAGAACTTTGTTTTTTTTTTTCTTGAACACGGTTTGAATCTAGCTCGCGCATCGATGCGTATACGTGTGCAAATACACGATAGGGACCAACGTATCGGTATATATTACACGATATTATATACACGTGTTCGCATCGATCCACGCTCGCGTCTGCATTCATTCACACTTTCACAATATACATACAAAGAACGCGGTAAAACGTAACATTTCGGTAGGCACAATTATCCGACGCTTTTCTGCGTCCTTTTTCTGATTTGTATTATCCCCTTGTCTTCATTCTGTCTCCTCCTATACTACTGTACCTTTAACACGTTGGCGCCCAATTGTTTTTCTCTTTACAGCTTAAGCCCCTGTCTATGACGCAGATTCGCGTTGAAGGGCGCCAACGTGTTAATGAATGCTTTTCTGTTTTTCAAACGCTCGAACACACGACAAACACATTTACTAGCTACATTTTCGGTACAGAGGATTTTTCTCTGTTCGAATCCATTTAAAGAACTTAATTATCGATAAAACTAACAGTTAAGTCTTTGGCGTTTGTACCAATGATTTTTCTATACGTGACCCCATGTGTCACGTTACTGATCTTCAATTGACGAACCATTCGAAATTCAAAATTCAAAATTCGAAACTTGCAACCGTATATAACATACCGTGTATTAACCGTCGAACTGGCTATATGATATACATCTACGTATACGTACTTATCGCTTATACACATATCTATTAATAGGCACGCGTACTTATACATATTTGACTTACTTTATATTCTTGATGTATTTGACACCCGATTGGTTTACGTGTCTCATTCATCGACTGTTGAAACCTTGACGATGTCTTCTTTCTTTTTACGGAAGCGATTACTATTAACTCGTAATAAAAAAAAAAAAGATCGGTTGATTAATGGCGGTAGCACGACCTTACCATAGAAACGTCTCAGGGAGGAAAGGGAGACATGCATCAATCGTACGCGGACGTGTCAATAGAATTAACGAATCTCGTTTCAAGCAGTCTTAATTGTCTAATATAAATGCAAAGGTAAACGCAATGAAAGTCCAAATTGCTATTAAGTACTTCATAATGTAACAGCAACCAGACGAAATTAGAAACAATTGACGATTAATAAAGAACATGCTTATCACAGTAAGCATCGTGCAACCTCGAAACATGAAGGGGAAGCACACACACAATCCTTCAGATTCTGTGACTAATATCGGCAAGAAGAAAACAAAATCAAATGATAGTAATATTAATGTTACCGGTGAAAATAGTATTACCCGGAGTTGGAGCAGCAGTTTTAGTAAAAGCAGAAGTAGTAACTGTAGTAGTGGTGGTGGTACTAGTTGCAGTAGTCCTGATATTACTAGTAATAATGATAGCAATAGTATTAGTAGAACTAGTAGTAGCAGTAACAGTAGCTGTAGTATTAGTATTATTATTAATAGTAGTAGAAGAGGTGATGGTGGTGGTAGTGGTGGTGGTGGTGCTAGTAGTAGTAGTAGTAGTAGTAGTCATAGTAATAGTAGGAGAGCAGCAACAACTATAGCAGAAATAAAAGAGTATTAATGATGATAAAAATACACAGAACGCAATGAAATGCTTTCAATGTTCTTTGGCTTGTTCGTATCTTAATTCCTTTAGTTAGATAGTATCACGAAAATATATATGAAAACAGACTCAAAGTACGTACACTGTGACTGTTTGTAAACTGAACAATTCCGAGGAATCGATTAGACTTTCGAGAAAAAATGTATGGCAACGTTCGATAAAAATTTACAAAAGTTCTAAATGGTATTTGAAAATTTTCAAAAATTCTTTTCGGTTCGTACTAATGACACGTGATGCGCGATTTATTTCTCCGATCGTTCTCCCTTTCTTCCACTGAATATCGAAAGAAATACAAATTCGCGATGTAATCAAGGTTACAAATATGGCGACTTCACGATTTTAAAAAAATTGACGAACATGTATATTGACATTCGAATCATTATCTTTCCAGTTACACTCCATTTGTTACTAGGATGTAAAATTTTGGCACTTGTTTGGCCGTCGATTTCGCTCGATACTTTGGCGTGCGTATCGACAGAAGCACAACAGAACAGTAAACAAAACATCCTTGTTAGTCGGGTGCGTCGTTCCATGTGAACAATTTTTACACGATAGAATGTACTCGCCGACAATTCAATTTCACAGAAATCTGCCGTTAGCACTCCGGTCTCTCGTAGGAATCCGACTGTTTTCTTTGCGCTTAAATTTACTCTTCGTTTGCAAAACAAAAAAAAACTTGTGCCTCGATAATCAAGATACAAATACCGTGAGTGTGAAGTGTCTATAAAATTCTTCGTCGCGCGAATTTGGAACAGCGCACTGGTGTACGAACCACGCACGAATGCGTGCACGAAAAAGGATCACAACACATTTTGAGAACAATTGTCACATGTACGTTGAGAAACGTCCGATTACATTTAGCAGATGCTCTGTAGTTGTTCTTCCAGTCACCGGAAGATACATGAAAATTCTCCTTTCGTCACGTTGCACGGAGAAGATTTCCATCACACAAGCCAAAACGACGAACGCACGGAAAGAAATGATTGTTGTGTGAGAATAATAAACAAATCTGGATTTGTTTACCACTTATTGGTTCACGCATTTTGAAACTACTCGTGAACAACCATCAGGAACAATGTAAAGAACATTATCTCGGCAGAGAAATCCGAAAATATTGTCGTAAACCCGATGCCACGGGGAAGAAACATTACTGTATACTCCACATGGTAATGGAATTGGAAGTTAAAAAAAAAAAAAGAAAAAAAAAAGATCGATATAAACGACGGCGAGCAACAACACCGATATGCTCTGCTCTTGTTAAACCGGTACGGCTCCCTCGCGTTCCTTTTCCTGTTGTCGCACGGCAACAGCTGCTTCGACCAGTAAGTAGAGACACTTGAACTTGTCTTTATCTTCCTCCGGTGGCGTCGGTGGCGGAGTCTCGTCCGTATGTGGACTATGAGCGTTACGCGTACTATACACTTCCGTTTCGTGTTGCACGTCGGGAGTTTGAATGAGATGCTGCCTAGGTGCGCTCCAATACGGCGCTTCGTTTCTCACCGAAGATTCGTCTTCGTCTCTGAAAGAAAAAATAAGGTTAAGCGTTAATTACGGAATGATTGACAAAGCCTGAACTAAAGTCTAATCGCAAAACTAATAAATTAACAATCTCTACCCTCGTCGCGCGGGATGGGCAATCGTCTCCTCGTAAGCTCGAGTAAGGGTAAACTATTCCGCTGGGCCATTGAGTCGTCGGACGCTCTTCCTCGCTGTGCGAGCTACTCTCGTAATCGTTCGGACTATCCTCTTCGCTTCTGAAAAAACAACAAATCAGCCGTCACCAACCAAACAGTTTTCGAATAACAGATATTTCACGATGGCCGTACGACACAAAGCTTAATCGCCACGAACCGGTACATTAATCCAGAAGGATCTTCGTAGTCGTGATCTCTGCTCCGTTTCGGGGCACTCATTCCAGCCAACGAATCCCAATTTTGGTTAGTTCTTGAGCCAAGACTCGACGACTGTTGATGGCTTCCTGCTGGCATTTTCTTACCACGACGAGATATCGTGTACTGTAGAGGATCGTGGCCCTCCCTTCGTATCATTTCCGGTAATATTCGCCGCCTAGCGTTTATGAACCAATTGCAAACCTATATTTGAGGTGCAACACACAAAATATACTTTTTATACGTGTACATTAATCGTCGTAAAAAAAAATAAAAAGAACTACATAAAGTGATGAAATGACGAGAATAAGAAAAGCAGACAATACCAACCTGCAAAACCGTGAGATTCGCTTCTTGACTCAGCGTGATCTTCTCGCTGTCGCTCGGATAAGCATTGTATCTGTGCTCGTAAAGCCATCGTTTCAGAATTTTCACCGAATGCTTCGGCAAGTTACCTCGTCGTTTTCTCACAGAATGCGTACCCGAGTGATGAAGTACTCCGGAGTGGACTTTACCACGCAACGCGTTCGAATCCTGTTCCGTATCGGAACCACTTTGGTCGTCGTCTGTACTACTCGACGAAGGAAACCGTTCCCTTCCTGAAACAATAACATCACGATATATCTTTTGACAGTCTTCATCATCGAAATTTCAAGTTTCGTCACGAGGGAGAGGGTGTAGAGAGGGGGGGGACCATATCTTCTTTATAATCTACCAGTAACTTACTAGACACAATGTTATTAAACAAACGCACATGCACAGGCACAAGTATGCACATTCAAAGTGAAACACCATATTTTCCCTTTATCAAAAAAAGGTCGCAACTCAAATACGTGCCTACATTCTCAATTGCCTCGATTTAATGTTACATGCATCGATAAAGAACGTAAAGAAACAACAGTATCCAAAAAGGAACAAACTAGGAGTAAAGAAATTACAAAATTATATAATAAAAGTCTTAGCTTCTCAGCACTCTCGAACATTCTTTCTATTTTTAGTAAGACCAGTTTCAGACATAAATATCCCTACACAATGCACCTCGTTCATATGCAACACTTCTTGTCAACAGTGTATTTAATTATCGTTACTAAGAGTGTAATTACACCAAAACAAGTTTCATTGTGATTTTATTGAAATTATGAAAACCATCAAACTACGTTTCACAAATTCGGCCATCACGTTTGAAGCATGTATAAAACAAAATCAATCTCTTAAACACAATGCTACTCGCGTCCGGCAAAACATATAACAATGTATCTGATTCGAGCAATATATACGTCTATAAAGACAGATTAGAACATTCCTCGATTTTCTCTTAACAGTTTCATCTTCCGCGGCTACTTCCTTCCAGACAACTGGAGTATGTACGCACACTTCCCCCTCCCTATTTTGATCCTTTCATTTAGCAACACAATAACTTGTTCACTCGCTGTGAAGTTATATCTTTGAAAATTGAATCAGCGGTTCTGGTTAGTTCGTACCGTCGACTAATCTTAGCACTTGAGTTTGTAGTTACGTAAGGTCCAGTAACCCGACGGTACAAAATTAGGACCCAAGCTCATCTCGGCTAGACGAAAACTATGTGTCACGATGGCGATGGCAACGACTACAAGGGTGGTAGGAACATCGTGCAGTAACAAAACTGTACGTAACATTATTGACATATAATGGAAAATGCATGGGTAATCGATTAAAACAAAAAAGACAGAAATACGCAGCTACCTTAAATATGGTCGATACACAGTTTCCTACATCAGCTAAATATACAATGAATTGCCAGCCAATTCGTGAATGCACCGTATATGTTAAGAGCGTCCCTTATCCGATAAATAATTGTCATGTTCTTAAATAATCGAATCAAGTGCCGAAAAACATTAATTTATGTGACACATACAACGCTCATAAGAAATTGTCTATAGCAATATTGTCATCATCATAATCATCACTATCGTTATACTGCTGCTGATTCGCGGCGTTATTAGATTCAAGACAGGAATATTAAACTAATTATTATTGTTGTTGTTAATGTTGGATACGTATATTATTTCTTATAGAAACAATTACAATCGAAATCTGCTTGCAACCCAAAGTCGTCGTACTGGATCCTATTGTTGGTCCAGACGCTTAAAATATTAAATTTTAATAAAAGAAGCAACGGTAACGATCCAATGTAGAAAAAAAGCTCGCACCGTGTAAAGAGAGTATTCCGTTAAAAAAAAAAAGAAAGATCCAGTCGATCTCATCGAACGTTTCTATCTCTGAAGGTGCGCCGTCGTAACAGCGACAGTCGGTGACCCGTAACACGTTTGGATGATTTCCAAAAGTTCGACGTAGCGCAACGGACGTTAATTAGTAGTGTCCTCGCCACGTTCGAAAATACTGCTAAGGCTTTTGACTTTATATCCTCTGCCGTCAACCTCCGACTGTTAAATCATCCTCGGATGTTTCAATTTGTTTTTTCGCGCTTTTTCACATGATTCATATACAATTTTTGGAATTGTAATCTTACACGGCCAATTTCTATTTCCGAAAAGCTGAAGATCGGAGTATAAATGCGACTTGACATTGTTTCCGTATATTATAAAAGAAGAAAAAGAAACAACTGTGAAACCAAATCACATTCAATAATTTTTCTGTTGAATTCTTCCTTCGAATGCATGAACGATACATGGTTGATAAAAAAAAAAGGTCGAAATCGAAAGATGCCTGTCGTTTAACCTTCCTGACATCTATTTGCCTACGCAATGTTCTGAGTATTTTGCATTGAATACATTGATTACGTACGTTAAATGCAAATACATATGCGATGTCTACATGCTGCCAGAGGATTTCGTACTTATCACTTACGCCAACTTACTCCAAGAGTACAATTTATGGAATAGTTGATACTGCGATACAAGCCACTGCAATTGCATATAGTCGAAATAACAATACGACATAGAGCCAAGTAAAATTTTTCAGTACCGTTTCTATCGTATTTGTCCGAAAATCGTCTAAATTTAGTATCCGAATGGTCTATACCATTCCCTTGTTCTCTGTTTTGCGATAAAATCAGTGTTACTTGTTCAGCAAGTATCTTATAAATTGCAAAGAAATGAGAATTGTTACAATTATTACATCCCACCCAATTTCTCTGCTACTTATTTCCTTCTCGTAGTTGATCGCGTTTTGATCATCGAGCGACAAGGATTGTTATTGTTGTTTTCTTTTTTAAGTTCTGAGAGCACGTGTTAAATCGATCTTTTACGATTCGGACTTCCAGGAGAATCGTGCCACGGGGTTTACAGCTATACTAACAAGGAGTCTCTTAACTGTATTGGCACCCGCGGCACGAAAGAACAAATACATACGCGTATGTAACAGACCCCTGGCACGCGCGCATATGTACGTACATGGACGCGTCTATACAGAGAAATAGACAGACACTTCATACGACTTTCGCTCTTCTTTGTACCTCCGTGTCCCTTCGCGTTTCATTGGCAGAAAAATCAAACTTGAAACACGAGGCATGCGTGGACACACGCCACGTGGTGCCAGAGGTAAACGGGGGGTAGAGGTTGCTTTCCCTTTCGGAGTTTTCCGATTCATACGCAACTGTTATAAGTCTTAGTAGACAATTTACTTTTTGTAAAAATATTTTAGACAATGAATTACAATTAATAACAGGAAAATATGCAGGCGGGGCATGAGAAGCTGCCCAATGCACGAAACGTAAACACAGACGCCTGCTGCAATATTTTTATGTTTCACAGAAATACAACAAACGCATTCGGATCGAGAACGGCAGAAGACAAGAGATGTTAGGAGGGAAGATGGGCGCCAGTTGCGCAACAAGCACGATTTTCCATGCCAAGAAGTCTACAACTTAACTGTAGACGATTGATCTTAAAGATGATTATACGTTTTTAGTCCTTAATAAAAACAGTTTCTTACGCAAGTTTGTGTAAAATGTACTAATAAAACACAGTCTATCCAAACTGTTCATCGGTTGTTTCAGAAAATGTACCCCTTATCGAGGATTTCTTTTGTTTCATGAAGCTGATTGGAACAGATCGTCACTGATCTTACCTGCTGCAAACATATTTGTATGTTGGGATGAAGCTGAATTGTCGTTACACGGTATCGCTAACGAGGGCAATGGTGATACGGTGCGATGACAGTCTGTGTCTCGTGAATGACGTCGATGAAACCGTTGCTGATGATCGTTTTGATGATTATGTTGATGATGTTTGTGCTGCTGATGATGGTGGTGGTGGTGATGGTGGTGGTGATGGTGATGATTATCGTTACTGCGACGACGATGGCGACGACTACGACGACCACCGGAATGATAATCTTCCTGCTTCTGTGGATGTCGATGGTGATGATGTTGATCATGATAGTAGTGATTATGATACTGATGATGGTATTGTTGTTCTGTACCTGTTACTTTTTCGGTACTGGTTTTCTGTTCCAAATGCATAGCCGTTGGTGGTAGCATGACACTCTCCCCTTCTCTCTCCCTCCCTCCCCCGCCCCAACACCAGCACTCTCTCTTCTTTTCTCTCGCTCTGTTCCTCGTTGTATTCAGGAAAACGCAAGATGTTCGATGTTGCGCGAGTACCTCCTCAATGAAGCATCAAAATATTTCTGTACCGAAATTTATTACGTCTGGACATTTTGTATAGATCCAAATTCTCACCAATCGTTGGACGATGCATTTCGAATCATTCATATCCTCACGTCGTCCATATTACAATGCTTACAAATAAATAACGAGCGTCGTTTATTGCATTACCATCGTTACATTTCTTTTCTTTTCCTTCTTTTATGTACGTATCGCGAACGTTACAGTTTACATTCAGAGAGAGACACGCAAGATTTTCGCCCCGTTTAACAAACGTCGCAGTGACGTACGTACCGACTGTTCAATGATCATAACCCCTACTATTTTCTTTTCCGTTAATAATCAAGTACAGTTTCGTTCTGAAGGATCATACGGAAAGGAATACCGAAACCAATGACATGCCTCGATGTTGTTCTCAGCGCGGCTGCACTCGACGAATTCCCAAAGAACGTTTGGCTTTCTTCTGTTACAGATTCTCGCTTTCTCCCTTCGTATTCCTGACCTTGCGTCAAATTTGTTTTTTTTTTCATGTGTGAAAACAAATCAATCTCGATCCTGTTACTCTGTCTCTTACGTTTTTAAGATACTTTCGTCGTGACAGTTCTTACAACATGTCAGTTCGCAAGAAAAACGAAAAGAACTTTTTTTCTTTTCGGGAACTGACCTTACACTTCTTCACTAACAGATATCTGTAACGACTGAAAAATAATAAACCAAAAAGCAAGGATACATCTTCCGTCATTCGCGTTTAAATTTCAAAACCGACCGAAGTCCGTCGCACGACGTTCAGGACGCGACTGGGCCAACCATGTTCCGAAGCCGGCTTGACAGTGGTCTGACAAGACACGACCGACGACGACGACGAGCAGGAGAGACAAACGCAAGAATGAGTGCATGAGTACATGACAGAGAGGGAAAAATCTGTGCGCTCGCGCGTGAACCCACTTTCCGCTTCTCGGCCGGCTAGCTATTGGACTCTCTCTCCCTCCGCCCCTCTCTCTCACTCGCTCTCGCCCTCCCCTCTAACCCTCGCACTCTCTCTGTCGTAGCTCTTTCCTCCTGTACATCTTTCCCGCCATTTAGACTTCATCGTTATACGCCGAGACCTGTTGGCCCGTTGTCCTAGTAACGATAGCGTGTGTACCCCCACCCTCCTCTTTGTACATTACACAGATAGTCTGGTTCTTGGCGGGAAACGCGTTATGCAGCAGCTGACCTTATCTCGTTTTCGGATTTAAAGTTCTTTAACTTACAAACTTCCGAACCTTCGAAACGTCGACCACGTGATTTTCTTATTTTTTTTGAAAATAATTATTCATTTTTTATTTTAATAAAATGTCGATTATCTTTCGAATCACTGTAAGTTAACTGAAAAAAACAAAGAACCTATCTTTCGCTAAAACCTATTGTGAAAACATGCGGCACAACTAACCACGTGTTGAAGTTTGATTGTGTGTAAAGGGAAAAGAAAGTTATACAAGTTTATCGTACGTGTCGATGTCGATTATGAGAATGTATATTTGTTCACACTATGGAAGGTGAGACGGACGATACGAAAGAAGCGATAACACAAAAGATAAGACTAAAAGATAAAGCATATCTGGGAACAGAAAAAGCGTGGATATTAAGATCGAGGGACTAGTAGAACCATGAAATGTGTCACTTAAAACGTCTCGGTGCGACATTAATGCTGTTACTCTGTGGTTTCAAGTGCAATCGGTTTTTTCTCATTAACCCCTAGCAATAGTGAAATTGCCCTATGAGGGAAGTACATTTACTCTTCACAACGCTTTATGCAGACTTTAATAAAAGTTAAACGATTATTGTTTGTATTATTAACCGTTTTTATTTTTCCTATGTTGAATGACGATTCCGAAAAGATGTAAACATATATGTATACATATATTTATTAAACACTATAACCACTTATATACCGCATTGGGACCACTTTTACGTATTGTCCTGCAGTAGGTACTCGAAATGACTAAAAAACGTACAAATCACGAAAAATGCAAGTTCGTTTCAATAAGAGAATCTTTACGATATTTTATGTCTATTTGTTGTCTGTTCCTGAATTTTTGATAAGAGAAAACTATATGTATCTTTATCTTATCAACGAAACCTATGTCCTATGTCAGTTTCGATAGGTGATGCTCGTAATACGATAAGTTGGTTATACCATATTCCTCTTGCTCCCTTTTCTTATCTCTCAGTCGGTAATAAATTAATTTTCGTTCGTTATCATGATGCCAGCAACTTAAAGTAATTGCTTTTTTATATGTTCCCGTTTAATCGAACAACGCATAAAAGTATTCTATCCTTGTCGTTTTAATTTATTCAACCTTCTAGTCGTCTCGATTCACCCCAAAATCAACAGTTATTTAATAGCGCTGGAAGCAGCAAATTGGTATATAAATCGGAAAAAATGAATTTTCGAGTAAATGTGAAAATAAATTAAAAACTATGATTCGTTCGCGTTTAGATAAACCACTTTCAGACGTAAATGTGCTTCGTTTCATAAATAATTGCACATAATTATTTTTGTATTCAGCAAGACAGTTAGTATTATTTACAGATACGAAAATACAACTTTAGATACAAAAAAGAATATCGTTCAACGACATTCGGAACTCGAAGAAATCGTTTAGTGACTTGTCTCTAAGTGCTCTGCGCGTATTCGTTAGATTCCTTAAACGGTTCAAGCGAATACTGAATCGTTTTTACAGCCAGTGAACAAATTTGTGCCTCTTATTAGCTGTCCACTGCTAACACTAACCGAACCGAACCAATGTCGGTTAAGTTTTTTTTTGTCATAAGGACTTAATAAAAACCTGTCTCGATTGCGGGATTGTCTTAAAAAAATTCTATCAAGAAACAAAATATTCATTGGAAATGAATCCGCGTGTAAGTTACGAAACCAAAAGGAAAGAGTACATTTAACTTAAAACTGTACATACATACATACGTACATGCATAGGTACATATTTTTATATTAAAGAAACGTTTTCTATGCGATCGAACTAATAAACAAGAAGGATGTCATCCATTTCAACTAATAACCCGAAAATTTAACAAACCGTAAATGTAAATTGAATTGCGGGCCTCCTGGTCGATGTTTAGGTCTGGAAGTCTAGAGAAGCCTGAAGGCAGCTGACCGACCCAAGCTTGGTGCGGCTAGGCTGCGGAATCTTTCGCACGGGTGTTTCGGGAGCAAAAGAGAGCTAAGCTTCGAATCGTCGACGTGCAAAGAAACATCAAATTAAGAGGGGAGGAACATTCCTCGTAGGTCAGCGCATAGAACGATTTTAGCTACGGTCTTTGAGCTACTTGTGTCCCGCGTTGCTTCGTGGCCAGCTCGTATCAGGAATCGTTTAGTTTCGATAAATGTTCCGCGTTGTCGTTTCCGTGCACGGAATTTTTTCTCAACTTTATATTTAGCTTTGCAATGTCTTGCCTTCCAGAATTTGTTTCCTGTCGATCGAACAAACCCCACAATCATATCGTTCCATTTCCTAAGACTCGTATTAACATTTCCGGCTGTATTAGTAATTTGCCCCTCGATGTACTCCACCTACGATAGCCTATACGCTCTGCGTCATTTATACGATAACCTCAAACTTCGAATAAATAACCCAAAGAAAGAAAGGGCTAAAGATAACGATACCGCGAGACTCATAAGTTCCTGTTGCTAACGAATTTATCACCGAATCAGCTCCACACAATTGGTTGATTCGCGTCCAGAAGTTAGAACAAAATGCTGTTCGTCGATTGCGAGTATTATCAAACGATCTATTACGTGTATCAGATTATACAAGCACGCGTATTCTATACCGAAGTACTTATTCCCTTCTCATTTTTCTCGAACTTCCAGAATTCATGGTGTATCGCGTTATTGGTTAGGCGGCCGGTAAAGAAGTAAATCGAAAACTTCCTCAGAAGTTATTGGACACAGCCGAGTAGGGACGACTGGCACGAGTGACTACGACTGCGCTATCGGTTACGTAACGAAACGAAGATTACGGTGAAACCGTTCTGCCATAGTTTAACGGAATACATTTCACTTAATTTTCAGCGCATTTTTTCACTCACTAATCTCTTCGCTGTCCTTTCCTAATCTTCTATCATTCCCTACGCCTAACCTGTCATGATGACAATTTAAAAGCAATGGTCAATTTAATGACTAGCAATGGCAATCACGCTATGCCGTTCTCCGTTAATCAACGAATCGATTTCGAAACATACCCTTGAGAAAATAAAAGTAATATCTATCACCTAAATTAATGTCATGTAGAGAAAAATAAAATACTATAAGTTTGCAATTTTTCATACTAAAATATTGAACACAGTTCATTGTTGTGTCCGGCAAACAAGTTGAAGAAATCTTGTACTCGACAATTTTGAACTAGTAGCAGACACTCCAATGCATTGTAACGTTAAGACAAGTTAGTCGCGACTCGTAAATCGGTTGTATAGAAAGCTTTGCAAAGAAAAAGTGTTTCATTAATAATAACAATAATAATAATGGATATTATTTATATTACTCCTTCTGCTACTAGTAGCACTATTATTACTATTATTAGGTGTGTGTGTGTGTGTACGATCTCGCGCGCGTATTACACAATACTCTCGTGTCTTTTCAAACGAGTTTCACTGGCCATTGACCAAAGCTAGATAAAGTCGTGTATCGCGACCCATTTACCGAGTTGCTAATCTTGGACTCTAATCCGAACTTGATTTTCCCCTCGTTATTTCAACGAAACATTTTCTCATTCATGCGATATTCATGGACGCTGCATCGTAATCATTACGCATCCATATACACATAAGCAGTAACTCGATGAATTTCATAAATTATACTCAATGTCAACTGTCTT